AATAATTTGCTAAATGTAGTGAGAAAGTTTTCAAGCTGGCAACACTGGCTCTCTCTCCGTTTTATTTTGTGTGTTTTAGCACACGTATGATGTAGCGTAGGGCTCGTGCCGGTGCCACCTAACACCTAACAATTAAAACTTTATATATAATAAATAATAAATAAATGTATATATTTCAAGAAGCAAAAACGTAATAATTTAATTGGCAATAATACATTTCTCTCTACTGTCCCAGAATTGTCCCAGACACTGTATGTTTGTGTCCCAGATGCCAGATTTATTGTCCCCGGGCACACGGGACATCCTTTGTTTTGAGTGCTGAAATATTCATTCAACTTTTCCTGGAATAATTCAAAAAACACTATTTGCCCTTGGATATAAAAACCAATCCACCTTACCTAAAAGCCATTGGTTTTGCATGTATTAGCTCATTAACTGCAAATTGCATATATTGTCATTACTGCTAGCCATTTCCCAAGGAACATAAGTTTTTAGATTGATTTCCTAGTTCTTGTTTTTTAAGTTTAAGACTTTTCTGATTGGCAGCGAAGTTTTCAAGACAGCCAATATTTTGAACCGTTTAACATAGTGATAGACAGATTAATCGGTAATTAATATATAATAAAAATATAATATAAAAAAATGTGGGACACATCTTCAGGTAGCTTCGTCAGTGTGCCTGCTGTGGAACAATGTTAGCGCTCCCCTTTTTGAGTTTTGGGAAGGTGGTGAAAAAGTTGGTTTTGAGCCCTGTACTATAACTCTCATGCATCCTGCTGTAAACGTATGCCTGAATTTCCTATAGAATAGAATAGAATAGAATGACACATGATTAGTCAATTATCATGTATTTGTATTATTATTATTATTATTATTATTATTTGCCCAAATATTTGGAATTGTATAATTGAAGTAAAAAGGTATCATGAATCTACAAAGGGAAAAAGAAGCTTAAACAAACTAAATATTTACAAGCTCAAACTAACTATTTACATATAAGCTATAGAAACAACCTAATCCAGAGATCCGGAGAGAAAGAGTGAAAGAAATGGTCAAACAAACCTGCAGCCAATGGCTTTTTGAAATAAAAAGTCTTAGTCTAAAAAGTTGCTGAACGCTGGCTCTATGATTGATCTTGTGTATGTTAGTGCATGTGTGATGTGGAACAGGGCATAGACACATAAAGGAAATAATTAATTTTGTAATGACACATTTCTCTACTGTCACGGAATTGCCCCAGACACCGTATCTTTGTGTACCAGGTGCTTGTTTTAACATATTTAAATGTACACTAACAACACTAAGCATAAAACATTATGACAGGGATGGCTGGGTAGGTCCAACGGGCAAAGTCTGCCTAAATGGAAGAATCTCACTTGATAATTTACATTCATGGTGCAAAGGTACAGATAGTGTGCCATTCTCCTGAGCACTGTATAATTATTATAATTAAGTGCCATAAAAATCTATTGAGCCAAGTTACTTCATGGCTAAATTGTGGTGGGGATATCTTTTATCATTATACAGAGGATTGGCTTCATGTTGGGCATTTAATTTGAACCACAATAAAAATGTTGGAGCTCATTCTGTTGCAACAGAGGAGCTACATGAACTCTACATTAAGTAACTAATTTGTTTATTTCAACAGAGTTTTTTTTTTTTTTAAATCAAGCTGACCTATTGCTCGCAAAGTGACTTTTAGAACGATCCATAATAAAGCTGATATCATTAAATTCTACGATTTGAAATACCGGTTTCCTCATTCACATTCATGAGTGGAGTTTGCACCATTGAGAAAAAAAAAAACACTATTTATTTACTCTATTTACAACCAATTCTAGCAAACACAGGTGCATCACGCCTACTAAACCGCCTAAGGGACACTCAATGGCATTTGCAGGGACCAAGATGTGTATACTGGGGGTTGCTTTTTTTTGTTTACAAAAGATATTAAGATGTGAACCATAGTGCTTCCTATATCTAAGCCTTGTTACAGCACATTACGCAATAGGATTTTACACGTCACTGTGTTAAAGGCATTCTTTAACAGGGTCAAATATAGTGAATTTTTAACCTCAAGGATTCATACACTGTCAATACAAAGACACATAACGACTACATTTTCAAGAATGGAGGTAACAACGGGTCTAAAACTGTGATCTTTATCAATATAACCAATAAGAAAGCAGAGGCCAGCTTTTGTTGACGCTGTGTTGCAGAAAAGCACTAATCATAACTGGTTAGTTCACTTTGGCTTATTTAGTCCTGTCCTGTTTTACCACTACTGGAACTATAGAGGAAAATGGGAAGTTAACCACAAACCAATTACCATGGTAACCCCCAGCTGTAAATATTGGCTTTAGATAAGATCTGTACTGCCCCTGCCTCTATAATGTCCTTTGTCTAAAATATTTCAAACTACCTGCAACGTCACTTGTCTTAAAAGTCTCGAAAACAGGCACAACAGGAATATGCAGTTGGTTGCTAACACCAGCAGTGAGACTAGGCCTGTAGAGGAAGAGCATCAGGTCTTGTGGTGAACTCTTTTAAAGTCGCTCTCAAAGATGAAAGGCTACATTTTTGCAGGACTAAAGACGTGAGAAAACCTCACTTGCACAAGCCAAATATTCAATAATCGAATGAATGCTTGAATGCAATGTTAGTTAAAAGTTAGTTAGAGATTGTAGTTTGTTTGAAACCTGAGCTGATGCGCGTTTTAATAATTAACTTAGACACCATTACTGTATATCACTATGAGTCAATATCTCTGTTTCATCACACATCATTCAGGGGAGAGGTGATAAACAATACTTCTGATTTATAGCCCTGCCATATCTTTATTATCCTAGTGACAAATCTTATTCTAACTTTTTAGTGACATATTGCACAATTTTCATGTCCACTACTTGTCAGAAACTACGTCAACGTTGTATTAAATCTAACGTTCAAGGTCTTGTTTTGGCTGAAATTAACTATGAGATACTTGTAGGACTTTGGACAGTGACACAATTTTTTATAGTTTTGGCTGTGTATCCAGTGCATTACATTTGATAGGAGGATATTATAGCTTCTCTCCCATCAATATTGAATGAACACTGTAGGAATCATACGTGAGACCATGATAGGGCTACAGCTATCACTCAATCTCAAATTAAAGCTGAAAGTCAGCACTTTACCCCCATAGCGCTTGTTTCACTTTAGGTCAAATGTTTTAGAGTGTTGCACAGAAAACTAGTCACTGTCAAAATACTTACAGGCTGCACTATAATATAGCAGTGACTCCTTTGACAGCAGACAGTAACACAAAACCTGACCGGCAAATTGAAAATAGCAAAGCCGTCTTTCAGCTTGCAAGAGCATGAACATTCAAATTCTGTGACTTCTTAAAATATCATTAACACTGGAAACATGCAAACAACACCCCCATGCTTACTGTAAGTCTCTGCCAACTGTTTTGACAAATATCTTCAGAAAGTGCCATCCTCCGCTGCCCAGGTAGAAGATCAGGATGGCCGGGAGCACCTGGTACCAAGGCAAGCCCACCAGCAGCCTCAACACAAATAGCAGGGCTGCGCAACACGCTAGACGCATCATCCTGAAAGAATGCACACACACACACATATAAATAGATACGGATAATGGCTGCAGACTGCAGCAACTAATCACAAACATTTCAGACCAAACATCAGTTCAGTAGGAGAAAGGTTAAATGTGTTTTAAATAAGCAAAAAAATGAATCATCACAAAGGCATTGAAGCCACTTAAGAATGTTATCTACTATAGTTTTGTTTACAAATCCTGTGCCCATTTTTATCCACTGACTCAGCTTCTGGTAGACTGCAAGTCTGTGATAAATGAGCAAGAGGTCACCCTTAAGTCACCAGTCGTTTACTGTATGCGATCATCTTGTATGAAATCTGTAAATCGGAGAAAATCCTTGAGTTTTCGTTTCTCCGGCAGTTGAATAAAACCCAAGGCTGCTGAGACCTTGAGGAAACCCTAACTCAAAGCAACTGGGCTGTACTGACAGCTGAGAGCAGCAGAGGACAGCCTGTGTTGACATTGGTGTTCAGTGCCACCAGATAGCTAGGAAGATGATCCTAAAGCAGGGAAGGATAGGTTTACAGGACCGCTTATTATCTATTCATTGGCCCATGTAGAAAAACACTGCAGGGTTGTTATTTCTGTTTATCATTATGGAACATATGGGCTTAAGATATCTGTTTAAAGCCTATTTTCTAGAGCTAGAAGATGCTGACTACATATTTACTGCTCTCTCCCTGCATGTGGCTGTAATCGTGATGATGACCATATCATAGCAATTCAACAAGTCTGCTGCTATTTAAAACACAGGCCGACGCTCTGTGTTACAAAGTGAGCCTGCTGAGGTCGAAATTAAATTACTCTGACCGTCAGACACGATCGGATTTGTCACACGTCAAGGGAAACAGATGCATTAAGGGAGCAGCAGCCACTTCACAGTAAGGAAGAAGAAAGAAAGAAAAAAAAAAGCTTCATCATTCGCTGCCGTTGCTACACCCGGAAATTTAAAGGCGCGTAGCATCATATTGCGGTAGTGGATGTGGAAACGATGGAGAGGCTCAACCCACTGTTGGTTAGACTACGCCTCACTAACCGTGCCATGTGCGCCTGCAGACCGGGGCCTTCAAAACCACGAATGGACCATGTTTATCGGGCTAACCTAACCTCAATCATGGTAACTGCGCGCCGGGGAAGCAGGATGCGCAGCGCATTGCGCGCATCGGCTTAAAAGCGAGGAAGCGGACGGACAGTGTGACAGCAGCGTCCAGGATGAAGAGCTGCATGCTGAATATGCAGTCCACGTTCACATCAATTACCTTTCATGGACCGAGAGCTGCCTTTGATATTAAAGAAAGTGTCGAGCCACCCTCTCGAGTCCCGCGCTCACAAGGTTAAGAGGACACTAAGAGTGTTTTTTGTTTTTTCACCGGGGCTGTTTCCCGTTGTCCTAGCACATAATAACCGGAGCACATCAGAGAAGTTGAGCATCGCGGGGGCGCACAGTCAGCTCGGGCTGTGGCTGCGGGGAGAGAGTAGGGGGGGGGGGTCGGGTCAGTATTTTT